ACGTCGAACTGCTCGATTGTGATGCGCTTTGTCTGTTTATTAAATTTCACTAGTTTAGTCGCGCACAGCGGGTGTGCGGTGCGCCTAAACTTGGACTGCACGTAGACACAAGATCTCAACATCAATGCTAAAATTAATGACGTTAGAAATGGATTTCGATCAATTAGAACTATAATATGTATGATATAGGAAAAATGTTAATCCTAGTGTAAGATACATTACGATAAAATCACGGTACCGCTATAGACGTTGTCTGATATCGTGTTCTAAATAAAGTAAACAAGGCAATATTTTAAATAACCGTATGAAACCCCAAGTACATTAAATTACCTTTGCATTTCTCTTCAAATTCTATAAACGTTGTCTACGCATCTACGTTCTCGCGTAGTGGTCGGCAACATCACATCGATTGAACTCTTTGCTCTTCTATAAACAAGTAGGTACTATATAGTCTCTTAAACTCGAATTTAAAAAAAAAATACTTAGTTACTATCAAACTCGTAGCATTTTTTCCTGTATAAAACATATATTAGGTATAACTTAAAAATAAACCAGTAGCAATATCTTGTCGAAAAGCCCGCGGCTGCGAAGCGCTGCTGGCCAGATGAAACTTAATATTTTGAACGCATTTATTTAGTATGTGCTTTTAAATTGTAATAGTTTTGATTTATTAGATACTTTTTAGTAGCCTGCATAAGGATGTCTATTTATAGGATTTCAGATAATAAGGAATAAACTGAAGATAATCAAAATTAGGATACTACTAAACTTCGAAAGACGGCTTCGGCAAACTATTAAAAATAATAGTTATGTAATTATGACGTATCTAATCTATCTAAGATTATCATAAAAGCTTTTGTTTAGTCCAAAAGCGCGGGAACATTTTTGAGACAAATGAGCAAATGTTAGTGTGAATCAAAACAGTTTATTCTGTAAAACTAGTGGGAACGGTTCCTTGTCAAACATTATCAATCATCGCGGCCGCTCGCCGCTCGCCGCTCGCCGCCGGCGGAATTGCTTTAATTTGATAAAACGCAATTAGCTACCAAAAAGAAATCTAATATGAGGCGGCTCCAGTTTTTTGGCAGCTCTTTTTTGGGATACGTTCCACTTTGACGGTTCGAAAATGATGGAGCTTTTGTTAGGACAGACTCAAAATGGAACTTGATTCTGAAAAATTAATAAGTGAAACAAAAGAAATATTGCCAAATGAAGATCGAATTCGACGAACTTCTTTTGTTTTAATATTAAATCGATTTTTGCAGTCTTTTGTCTTTTTTTCTAAAATAATAGAGCCACTAATAAATGGTGCATTTTTTCGAATATGTTTACTTATTACTAGAGATTAAAGTATCAAACATCAACGATATTGTCGTACCATTGTGGATTCAATGCATCGAAGTGATTGTTGATAAAGACTGACTGAAGAATGACTTGACGTCCTATACCACTTTACAATCGCATTAATAAAATGTACATGTAGATATATTAATCGATTCCGCCGGAAATGG